TCCCTAGTCATCAGAAACTGGCCCACAAGGTACCACGGGGTCACAGTGCTTCCACCAAACGTAACATTCGAGCAGGCACCGATTCAGCCACTGACGACGTCTGCGTTGGTTATCTAGCGTCCAATGGTTAGACCACATTGCTTGAGAAGCTACTTGACAGTAAAACAGTATTTCCCTAATTAAACCTTGGCTGTTTGATTTTCTGATAAAGCCGAAAAGGCACGATATTGAATTGGTATAACGTCGCTTGGTTGTTCCAATACAGTGACGCTCATTTGTGAATGAAAAATAATAGATGGAATGATATACAATGGATTCTAGCGATGATGGTGACGTTGGTTATGACTGATTTAGAGCCAAATATGTTGTCTTAGCAAACGCAATGCTAGATAAACGACGTTTCTAATATTGATTTTAGTTATTAAGATGACAATCAAGACGATAGTGATGGTGATGTGCTGTTCATCAGATTATGAGATTTCCGTAATATTGTTGTTGATGCAAATGATGTAGTGATTTAGTTTATTGGTAATTGCAACTTAAAGCAGTAAATTTGAAAATTTCATGGGATATCCATTTCTTTCAAAATCTAAGGGTTCCTTTCTTAAGAATATGTCAAAATCAAAGGCTAGCGATATGCTGTTTGGTTGCTTTCAGGAGTAGAAATCTGCAAAGTCGCTTGGCCGATACATGTCCTTTTCAGATTACAAAAGAGCTCCCCCCGAACGCTAAGCCTATCGATTTTACCACTGCGCTGTCGCATGATTCTTTATCACCTTCAAGGTGTCGTGTAAAAGACCCTTCGATTTTGTCATGACATATTCCAGGGATGAAGAAAAAATATGTATATCGATAGCGAAATTCCTGGATTTTGAATATGGGAAATACCGTAGATCACTTACTTATAAGGGTATCCTACGTCTAGGCCCGAATGAATATCAGTGTGAATATTAGACTGCCTAATAATTCAAATAAAAAAATGTAATATTTCTGGTTAAGGATCACCCATCAGTAAAAGTTAGATCCATTACATATTAATTTCACTGCATTTAAAAAACGTGCCATGGTATCTAGACCGATTGGAAAAATTAAAGCTACTTTCAGACACTGTATGCTCGGGTGGATAGCTATTAGATATGGACGTATGCATGACCGGTTAAATGTGTTAAAAACTTTTAACAACTTCTTCTGTTTTACCAATAGACCTTGGATCGTGATATTTGGCCTGGAACATTCTGGGGTGGAGAGCTATCAGGCTTACTCGAAGTTATGACCTTGACCGACTTTCAAGATAACAGGTTCAAATGTGTTAAAACCTTTGAGCATCATCTTCTGAATTACCAAGAGGCATATGGTCATGATTGACATTGCCCACTTTCAAGGTCACAAGAGTCAAAACATTTTTTTTTAAATCAAACAAATTTTGGTAACAAAGATAACTGGCATCAAAGTTGATCTTAAGCACGCTCTGATGAGGGGCTATTTTGTTTTACAAATAAATGATCTCGTTGATCCGCTTTCAAGATCACGAGTCAAATGTATGAAGACTTTAGAAGCACTTCCTTTCAATAACCATAGGGTCACGACATTAGCCTGTTACATGCAAGAGTAGAGAGCTAGTTGAGGGCTATCAAGCTTGTATTAATTTGTATGATTTTTTGGGACTTTGTATTTAAATCTAGATGAACAAAACCGGCCCATGGGGCTAATAGTTTAAACTATCTTATACTTTTGATAGCTTGTATTCATTTCTATTTAAGGTATCTTAAATACAGAATAAGGTATTATGCAAACTCAAGATATCTAAATCCAATTAAAACACGTTAAATGCACGATTTCAACTGAAGAATGTGATAAGATCTTTTGACATTTTTACGTATAGGGGAAAACATATCATTCTAAATTTCTTATTAGAACCATGATTTAACACGTAACAATAATTTAGATTCATAAACTTAATGAAGTTTTTATATCCAACTGCCTGAATTTCAGATGTGTGTAATAACCGGATCGAAATGAAATACCATCTACATCGGGAAGATGGATGAAGAGTACAGGTATGTTCTGGTCAAGTTTTCTGGGCGATTTTTAATCATCAATACATCTATGACAACTAAAGTTTGATTTTGAGCTAGTATTTTTGGTCTAAATGTTGTCAGCTTAAAAGGTGTTAACTGATGACATGGGGATATTATAAGGGTACTATTTTCACGATGTTTCATTAACGTTGGTAGTGCCCGGTAATTCAATTCAACTTATGGCCAATGGAATACGTCTCCTCCTATAAGTGGGGAAATCGAAAATCAAATTACCAGCCTATTTATTTTTCATTCGGTCAACCTGTATAAGAATATGATATCAAGGTAACGGCTTATATTTCTTATCGAAGTTATTTAATGTAATGGCTTACTTTGAGGACGATATCAAGGTGTTGGCGTGTTTCTGACAAAAATGTTCAACCTTACGACCTACTTATTTTACTTATAACAATATTGATATACTGTTCTACTGACATTCTAGTATAATACTTACACTGCTACTATCATTTTATCATTATTACTACTACTATAATACTGACACTACCGCTTTATTACTAACGCTTCGAGTAACTAGTATTTATATCTGTTACACTATCATTTATATCAGCATTTCTATGTGGCACCTCATCAATGACGTAATCACCTCATAGAAATAAACTAAGACTACATGAGGAAATGATACTCCTACGTAAAAGTGGTTGAAGGAAGATCTTTCTATTTGTAATTTCTTATTTAATTATATTCATTTTAACCGATATTATTGTTAAATCTGTTTAAAATATGATGTTTGGTAATATTGAGTTTTCAAATCATTTGAAAATAAACATTGTTATTTAGTGTTGCAGGTAAGTAGTGATAGTAGTCATGACACTTTATAAATTTCTTATCTTATTTTCATACAAGTGCATGTTCATAAACATCAACTGTTGTAGGGGTACTCGACCTTCTGCTGTAGTTAAATGTAACTATAAATAGAATTTGATAAAAAAATTGATATCATCGCTGTAGTCTTCATTTCTTGACTGATTGTTACGAAATTTCACATATGTGTTAAAAAAACATAAATTATTGTAAGGGCTGCGGCCAAAAACAAGGTCACTGCTACTTTGAAAAGAACTTGATAGAATTTAAAACGTCACTGCTCTTCAGACTTTATTTCATTTCTGATGGCCACGACACTTCAAAAGCGTGTTCACAAACATCAACTCTTGTACGAGTTTGCGTTTCGACCAGCTGTGGTAAAAACTTGTTCAGTTTTATAAATATGATTTGATATAAATTTCTCTACAGATTTTATTCCTTTTCCGATCGTCACGACACTTCACAATATTCACAAACATCAACTTTTCTGCGGTCGAAGAATTCAAATTTCTTTTGACTTTGAAGTGCAATAAGTTGTTCAAAGATACCAATTTAACAATATATGATTTTGGTGCAATTGTTGATTTTGATCATATCCAGAACCAATTCATAAAATATCTTCCAAATGTGTTATCAGTAATCTATGAATGTTTACACAATCGAAATGACATTTCTTTCACTTATACTTTTATCTTAGAAAAGCAGTTTAGGATAAAACAAATAAGTAATAAAATACCGATAAGGTATAATGTTGCATGAAATTTGCATAGTATTGTACATTTAGCACTTGCACAGTAAATGAAAAAAAGACGATACAATAACGTTTTAAGTGATAGTCTGATTAGATTTTATGTCAGAAAAAGTTGAAATTTTAGCATTGCATAAAAACACCATTTTGGATATTTAAATGGCTGCCGAATAGGTATTTTTTTCAAACTTGTAAAAACATTCTGCAAACAAAAGGCATCTAGTTTTTGACACATTTTCCAGATGTATGTACATAATGTGTGCTTTCAAAATTGATCATAACTTTTTAAATTTAAAATTAAAACAAAACCTGGTACACTATATTGAAACGAGATTTACACGTGATTTAAATCTCAGAAGAGTACATCTCTAAGCTCTCGACAACTCGGTCTAGGGAAACGTTGAAATCACAAAAAGAATGTGATTGCTGAGTAATAATGCTGATATTCAGACTCAGCTATTATTATTATTATTATTAATAGTATCAGTCTCCATATTGTTTTACACATTTCGAGTATATTAAACAGTCAATGCATATATAAAGTCAAAAGCAGATATCATAACAACTCTCTCCTACGGCTAAGACTATAAAACAAAGGGATAGCATTAATGTTAAAGACAACATTAAAAATAATAGAGAACTAATTAAATGAAATAGAAGAAATACTTTAGACGTGGTTTAAAAGAAATATTACTCACTTCAAAAACTATCATTTACGACGGCGGGAGTCATTGGGGTTATTTTTAAACGCCCGTTACCATATGGTAATCTTCCTCTATGAACTTGTCTCACCGTTTTCTGGGAAACTAAAAGTCTGACCCAACAAATCTCAATTTTTGATAACTACATTGAATCTGTTGATTTCATAGTTGATTATTTTTGAGGCATCATACCAAAATTGATTTCAGAATATATCTTTATCTTGAAAGCAACACGCTGTATAGAATATTTTTCTATGACTAAAATGCAATACTGTCTCAAAATCAGTGTGATGTAAGTATTATGTAAGTAACGTTTTTCTATGACAGAGACCTGCAGCAACTCCTTTGGAGTGAAGTACCTAAGGATATTCGCTTACTAGAAGTTGCCATGTTTAACGATCTGAATAAAAGACTTAACCCTGAGCATCGGAATTGGTCAGTTTTCTGTGCATACTTGAATGGGTGCGTGCCGGACTTTTCACACGATGCAATACAGCATGGATTCTTTGAGGTGGGGAACGAGCTACGCACGAAGGGACACATAGAGACAGGATGTTATGGAAACCTCAAAGATTGTCTCAAAGAGATGCCTGATCTCAAGAAAATAGTTGAGAAATACGAAAACAAGATAAAGGATAAATGGAGGGAACACACGAGAAACCTCCGAGGTATAATTCTATTTTTCATAGATAAAATTAACACATCAATCTTATTCATAGTGCAAATACTAAAACGACAGTAAGTTCATTCATCTCGACTGAACAAACTTCTCCAATTGTATACGATATGACACATATGTATGTTTATGACATTTATTTATTTTTCTTATTAAGCATCACATGACCACACGTATAATGATAATTTTTTTGAACTTTTGTAAAAAAAACATTCCCTAACTTTGTGACGTCACTAGTTTTACTCAGTATAATGCATGACATATGTAATGTCAATTTCCATAGTATTCAAAAGTGTACTACAAATGTAGAATCCGCAAATAACAAACGATACATCACCTTGGTGGAAAAATACTTATGGAGGGGAGAGCCAGCAGATGTTCATCATTTTGAAAAATCTCGATTAAATGAGGAACTGTGTAATTTATAGATAGAAATACTAAATGACAAAGGGGAATCATATAATATGAAAAAAAACCTGTTGTAGCATGTTGATTTCGGTCAATATTTGGTTATGTGATCCGCCGCACCGACCGATGAAACAATCTGAGTTTGTTGTCGCTGACCTGGCTTCGACAAAATCATATAAGACCGACATCAACATGCTATAATTAAAGCCCAAAAATGAAGTCAGAGGATTTATTATACACCCGCAACGAAGTTAGGGGGGTATACTGGAATCTATCTGTCTGTCTGTATGTCTGTCCTTAGTAATTTGTCCGGAAAATTCCTCCTTAATTAACAGGTGGATTTCATTGAAACTTTGCATGAATTATCAGTATCCTATGTAGTTGTGCTAGCCATTTTATTTTTGATGGAGTTATGCCCCTTTTTGCGAAATACTTGTCCGGAAAACTCCTCCTTAATTAACAGGTGGTTTTCATTGAAACTTTGCAGGAATGATCAGTATCTTATGTTGTTGTGCACCAGCATTTTAATTTGGGATTTCGACCCTTTTTGATGGAGTTATGCCCCTTTTTTACGAAATATTTGTCCGCGCAACTCCTCCTTAATTAACAGGTGGATTTCATTATAACTTTGCATGAATTATCAGTATCTTATGTAGTTGTGCACCGGCATTTTAATTTGGGATTTCGACCCTTTATGATGGAGGTATGCCCCTTTGTGCGAAATACTTGTTACTGGTGGGAGACTATGGATTGCTTTACAATGCTTTGTCTTAGTAAGCCTTTAACTTACAGTTCTGGCTTATATAGCAGCGGGGGTATTAGTTAGCCTTTGGCTTACAGTTCTAGTTGTATTTATTCCCATTTCTTTATTTTGGCAACTGTATATCACAAATGGCCGCCACAGCCTCTGATTTGCTGGGATTTACATATTGACCAATTGCACTTAAGTTTGATTTGTTGTTTTATTCCGTTACGAATAGTACAGTGACTTCATATATAGCATCATTTACAACTGCGGGGTCGTTTTGGGGGCTACACATCAAGATGGATGTAAAATGCTATTGTACCGTATTTACTTCTCCACACCATGAAAATGCAACTATATGACACTATCAAACCATGTTGTAATTCAAATGTTAACGTCGTGATTATTATTAAGATATCGAGATCAGGATTCAAATAGCATTGGTAGGCAGCTGGCTACATTTTGATAAACTCCTTATAAAAAATCTGAGATACGAATTAATCAGAAAATAATACAGTGATACCGGACTTAAGCCAAGACTCAAGACGTAATGTCTGACATTATTTCATTATTTAGAAAGAATGCTTTCTCGGTCTTCCTTCACATTGCGATAAGCTTTGACAATGTTAGAGTAGCATAAAACTGTCACAAAACTGTTGGCACATAACTCTTTCGTCGACATCATCACGTGTCGTATAGTGTTTATTTAGGTTTAATTTATTACAATAGCTGTTTTACTTTTCAGGCAAACCTCAAGCAGAAACTGAACACAGGTACTGTAACTTTTTGCAAGTTAGAATTAACTAGATTTCAAACTATTATTAATTTGCTTTCACGATATTGTAAAAAGTGAAATAACAACAATGATTATAAACTGCAAAAAAACCGAGAACAGAGAGACAAATGACAGAAAATGTGTGAGTGCAAGAGCTATTAGGTTATGAGGCAACTGGTATAAATGATGAAGCACTGGGGTATTGACTACGAAACAACAAGACAAACTAATGAACGTAAAAAATAAACATCTTCCTGTCATATCACACAAGGACATAAACATACCCAATGATATTATGAATATAACCTTGACACTGGCACATTGGCTTGTTTAACCTTCATCATTCAATCACGATAGGAAAAATCGAAAACAGCTTAGTAGTAAGCCGTCACTGTTGATCATGATGTAAGTAACGATGTAGAAAAACAGCTGATGTGAAAGAGTCTGTAGAATCCTTGATTTCTGAACACCAGTTTGATTTCATCGTCGGTATATTTTAATTTTGCCGTTGTCGTACTTTTTTCCACGGAGTATTTTCCAAAATAGTTGACATTCGCATATTAATCTCGCCATTCGCCCTTCTTTGAAAAATCCCATAATAAGTGAATGAAGGAGTTCTTTCAGTTTGGTAAGAGATATGGTAGTAAAAAGTAAAAATATCATAATGTGTAAATACGTGAAACGTTAAAAAATTACGAGACATACAAATCGAGAAAGCATAGGGAAAATACATTTCGTTTCGTTTATTCCTGTTCGAAAAGAAACAAATTATCATTACTCCTTACCATAATTTTATATCAAGTCCTTTGTATCATTGAAAAAATATTTCTGACCTTTCCTTTCCCCATTTTTACACAACTATAGTAGACATAGTAGACAATGAAACATTGTTAAGTGATGTATACTAGAACTAATGTCTCGAGCTGATTGATCAATTTGTCTCTTTGTTTTCTGGGTTTTTTTTCTTCAACTTTATGTTGTATATTGAGCAAAGAAGTAGAGAAGAGGTTTACATATACATGTTGATCTATCTTTCTAATAACAAGATTAATCAAAGTATTTTAGATGATGCTAATGGTACTGACGAAGACAACACAGGTACGCTTATTTCATTAAATCATATAAATATACAAAACTCCTTCCAAATTCATGATAATGGTTAAAATAACAAAAATAAAAAAGGCTTTCTTAGTTGCTGCAATATCGGTGGGTGTTGTAGGACTTGACAATGTTATTGTAATTGTGTAAAATAAAAAATAATACATAAAAACAAAAAAATATTACAACAAATCAAGACCAATGCCGGCAATGGAAACAATTTTAACACTTATGCAATTTATCAGAAATATCGTCTGTTACACTGCACTGATCCACAGGGGGTTCGATACAAATGTCTGAAATACACATATGTTATAGACCTTCTGATATGAGTCACAGCACATATAAACATCCACAAGGCATATGTGTATTTTATACATTTGTAACGAACCCTTGTGCTCTGTCGCAAGATCACTCACTTCAAACGCTATCAGTAACACGCGTCTATCAACCACGGTTTCCTCAGTTTCTGGCGACATGCAAATAAACAGCCTTTTTGTAGAATCTACTGAATTTAGTCAGGTTCCCATACAATCAACAAAAGTTCTAACTTTTCTCTCTGCTCATTCAACTTCCAAAAATACCTCCCTCGTGGAGGGCACTGTTTCTATCCATGCGCGAAAAAAATTCCGGGGAAAAATCGAAACAATTTTAAATCTTACTTTCAGCTCAGATTTCTATTGATAAACTTAAACCACCATACAGACATATCATACGCAATAGCATGATACTGAATTGTTGAATAAAATTGAAGTGTTTGTTAAAATTTCAAAGTACTACTTTGTTTGCCAATCAGTACGGACAACACGCTCTTCCAACTATTGAACGAATTTGTGTGGACTGTCGAAAAGGCGGAAATTTTTAAATTTTAAATATAAACACATAAAAAACATAAAAGGCAGAGAAAACGTAAATATAAGTATTGAAGTGTTTTTGTATGGTATTTATGACAAAAACAGTTCAATGCTTAATTAATCCATGCGGCGATCATTATTTCATTTTGGAAGGTTGTTTTGTGACGTCACAATGTATCATGACGTCATAATTTCCTGTGTTATGTTGTCCTCTTGACGTGAATAAACGCATACTCTGATGCACGTCTTAAGAAGTGAAAGTACTAGGGAGCTTCTAGGAAACTCTTTATCTTATTTAGACTCCGCTAATATAAATTTCAACCCCATTACTTGTTAGTTGTCGAATAATAAGAAACGAATCACTAAGTTACAAATAAGTATTATAATGAAGTTGAAAAAAATGATCTGTTTAATATAATGTATCATTTATATTGTTTTTGGATTGTAAGAATAATGTTTGAATTTATGTAATTTTGTAGGTGATATTGCCATTAATGTGTATGAGCGGTCAGTCTGCTCGATAGAGGGACAACCTGCCGTCCTAAGATGTACTGTTGATCCACAAGCTTCTTCCATTGTTTGGAAAAAAGGAAAACCAGAACCTGACGAACGTGTTTTTATAGACAAACAGAAATACTACGGTGGCAATCATTTGACTCCGCCACTTGTTATAATGAATACGGACAAAAGTTCTGATGAATCTAGTTACTGCTTAATCGCTACTGGAAATGACAAACGGACTAAAAAGAGAAGTGGAATAATCCATCTTTATGTCGACACGGTGATACTAGGTAAACACACTGACTTTATATTCATTACATATTAAAGTGTTTATGTGTTTAGTTCCTAACTTTTTATCATAAACATGAATTGATTTTTTATTGTCAGATCATACTCAAGTAAGTTACGTACCAAAGCCACCCTTCCGGAAAAAACGGAAAAGCATTGCATCGGGACGTGGTAAGTGCAATCTACTTTTTACATTATCTCTAAATGAGAAATGTGTTATATTATCGTTTATTATGCCTGATTCCAAGTAAATATCACCATGGCAAGCTTGTAAGACATGTTAAGTGCATAAAAAACTTAAACACTTCAAATGAATTGAAAATGGACGTTTTTATTAAAAACGACTTGTTTATATAGTCCAATGTGCTTAAAAGTCTTAGATGGGTTAAGAAAACCTCACTTTAAGAAGTAATAATCATATTGAGAAGGAGGAGGTGATAGGTAATAAAATTCACTTTCAGATATTTAAAAAGAAAATAGATCATGATGTAAAAAGAAGGAACACACCTTGTTCTTCCATCATCTGCAGCAGGCTTGTGACCTAGGATCAGCTAGTGCACGTTTTTATATAGGGTGCTAAAAATAGCGACAAATTCATACGACTTTTAACCTTCTCACTTCTAATGGTCAGCGTCCGCTCATATCAACCATAGTTACAATTAATACAGTACTTTAAAATTCATGATATTGAAACATAATAAAAAACAAAGTATTACTGTCATAAATTACATTAAACAAGGTTTAATTTGTATTTATGGGTATATACGGAATGTTTTTGCCCCTTGTAACGTGATTTTAAAACAACATTACGCATAATTTATCATTAAGTGCACATGGTAAGTATTTTCGCTACATCTAAAACCCTTTTATCAAAACATTTGTAGCATAATATGTATTGAGATTGCTCAAATATCAAGGTTAGCTATATAAACCCCATGGCTCTCCTGCTATCTGTATATTTTAACTCCTTTTATAGGCTTAGGGCGGCGACTTATTACGGTCCGCCTTCGTCGTCATCCGTCGTGCGTTAGAACTTGATGGCAAATACGACAGAAGAGATTTCATTGAAACGTCAAGTTTTTGGGAATGCTCAGGATATTGTACTGACAATTTTTTTTTCTTTCAATTCAGTCAGGTATTTATAATGGCCGCCATAGCAGTTCTTTTAAGCATCTGTTCTAACAGTTTAGTTCCACTGATTGCATTTCAATGAAATATAATAGGAATGCTCAGTGCGGTATGTTATCCAAAATGACCACCACGGCAGCCATATTGAAAATATATTTGAACTTATAACTTAATATTTACTGAAATGATTTCAATTAACCTTAAAATGCTTGTTGGATGAATGGCCCTGACAGCGTTGCTATTGTTCGGGTCGGTCAGATATCATAGACTGCCATTGTAGCAACCTGGGACATCTAGGTGTCAAAAACACCCCGATTTTCCGTCCAAAAGTGACTCTCTGACTGTTTCTTTCCTCCTGCTTATGATTATTATAAAACAAATATTATAACCAACAATTCAAAGTCCCAAGTTCTTCGTAGATATCCACCATTTTCCTTCTGTACACATCTATTTCAGCAATATCCCTTTATCCGGTCATAAGATTGTTTTCCTCAAGTGACCATAAGGTCCGTGGACCTTTCGTCACTGTTGTGGCCTTTTATAGTGTTAGATTAGACAGCATTTATCTCTAAGACCAGAAAGTGGCTAATAAATTTTAAACCTAGCAAAATAGTGTTATTTTATTTTATTTCAAACGACGAAGATAAAAAGGAAATTCAAAATTACAATTTAATAACTATTTTCTCAACTTTAACGAATGTCATTAACACTTGGGAGAGGTGTTTAATTTTAAAGCAAAATGGAACGACCATATTCAAAAGCATAAGTATGCCGATTATATAAACAGTCTATGTCTACTTTAAACATAAATATACGTTAAAGTGTGACAAATAAAATATACCAATGTTTTTTAATTATTACCAGTTCTCGAATATGCAGGTGAAGTATGGGAAGGCTGTACATGTGTATGAATCCAATTTACTAGAGAAAGCCCCCCGTGAAGCCGTCCGTACAATAACTGGGTTACCATCTTTCGCAATCAATAATTTTGTATAAGTTGAAACTGGACTAGAATCTCTTTCTGATAGGAGGAAGCGACGGAAACTCTATCTTTTATATAGAATAAAAAACCTATTAACTTAAGAATTCTCAATAATATCTTGCAACATACTGTTGGTCAAAATACACCATATCCATTACAAAAACCAATCTGACTTTTTAATTCCCAATTATAGACTTTCTAGTACAAACTTCTCATTTATACAGGTGACATTTAAAAAGAACACATTAATGTAGGCGTCGTTAGCACGAAATGAACTTGATATATCTGTGAGAACGACGCCAACATTTAATGTTTTTAAAAACGCTACCTGTATATTGTAATTTTGGAGATAGAAAACTAAATACTATTCACACCAAGCTTAGACATAAATGTAGTTCTCTAAAGTTTTATTAACCAACATTTACCCGTTTGCTCCAGCGTTGCAATATTTAGAAATGCACATACTTTCATCATAAGCAGTAACAGATTCTAATAAATAAGAAACAGTAAGCTTTTACTTTCAGAGCTAGAAGAACAACCTTAAAACTAAACTTGAATATGTTTTTGGGTCCTTTTGTATATTTGCCTTTATACTTGCTTATTAAAATTTGTGGAGAGGGCTAAATAATGTTGAGATACCAATCCAATTGCTGTACTTTTGGAAATAGAATAGGTTTGAATCAAATCACACAACGTACATATTCATACATTATTTAAATATTCTTTCATTTGCAAATGCATGTACAATACTTTTAAAGGAATTACAAGATACAATAGCATTTCGAATATGATGATGTGAAATTATAGAATGTATCGACAGTTTTTTTCGAGACAAACGGTTTGTCCAATCTCGTTGGTTAGTTGTCGTTGTATATTACATTGTAATGTCTGCGTATTTGGGGAAAAACAATCAACAGACATTTTTCGAAACTCCTTTTCATGTGTCATAAATGCAATACTCCTTATTAAAGTAATATATTTATCTGTCATATGTTATCTAGAAATAATGTAAAACGTTATTTTGTGAAGGGAAGCCATACACCCGGAGTCCCCGTATAGACAGTGACGTCAACGTAACATTTCTGATAGAAAATAACATCGATACTACACGACAAGAATCTAAAGAGGATATTCGCAGAAGCCTGCAAACACATACACAGGAGCGAGGTCGAATAAATAGTCCGGAATTCTTGGAACGTATGTATTTTTCTCCGATTGCATAAGTGACTATAACAAAAATCGTACGACTTAAGTGAGTGCAACGTGATGAAGGAAATGTATGAATCCTGCTTTGCCGGGGTTATTTTGTTAATTTTTGGTTTATTTTGATGTCTCCTCTCTTCTTTAAGTCGTCTGTTAATGTCGGTTTTGTGAGCTGGGTTGGCTCTCTTTCGTCGATGACTTATGCAGAGGTCATTTAATAGTTACCTTTTAAACACAATATACATTTCACAAGTATGGCAGAATACCGTTATCGGGACATTATCGGTATATTATGTCACACAAGTAAAACATGTCTGGTATTCAATGAAAAACAAACATTACATTTTCCAATGATTAAATTCTTAGCGTCGGTGAGAAAATTGCGTAAAATTGTGACTGACTTTGCAGCGTATTATTTTGCGCTTTATTATAACAATTGAAGTCAGCACTACAGTTTTAATAAATTGTTCGGCAAGAATGTTATCTATAGTGATGTCAACATACCTCATTGTATATAGCAAAGATGCATTAAAACAAATACTAATTATATCGCTGCATCTGAACAGAAAATCTGGCTTTTAATGCAGTGAATAGAACGAATCGATCAGATTGGTCAATGCCCGAACCGACACTTTCACACTGTGACTGATATCACTTTGATATCTGTCACAGTATGAACAATATCTGTTATATCAAATTGATAGAATCCAATATATAATAATAATAATAATAATAGACTTTATTTAAATTCGATAACACATTGAGTCAATGACTCGTCTCACATGTGGTCGACATAAAATGTACAATATTTACAACATGGATATGACATACACGTACATACATAAAAAAATTAAGTAACATATCACAGGTAATAAAACATTGTATTATCTTTAAAAAAAACAAAAACAACAACAACAAAAAACAACAACAACACACTCTTGCATCCTGTATCCAATAACAAAACTACGTAATACATATCACAGATATATTGGTATGTGATATCACACAGGCTTACAATAAAATATGTCACACGTGTATTGGAAAATAAAAAGTTGGCTAAATATCATGCAATGCATAAATTCTCATGCTGCATTTTAGAAGATTTAAGAAACGCATAATGCGTCTAATATACATCCATGTCATTGTGACAAAGGGTAAAAAAATTACAGAATATACGCTAATGTAGCGTAAGTTAATACCAAAGTGTTGATTAGAGCATTAGGAATAGTAATTAAGATTAAGTTCTAAAACTTCATTTAGATACACGTGTGTCATATTCCAGGTACTACAGCAGATAGATATTTCAGGAGGGAAAGGGGTGCAGTTTTTTAATTTTCTTTACACTTGTCTTTATAGATTACATTGAGATGTTTTTTGCACTCGAACTTAAAACTGTTTAGTGATTGGCATTTAGAGACAGTGGTTGGCAAATTGTTCCAAAGTGTCGGTCCATTATATTTAAAAGAGCAAACTCTTGCAAACTGCATATCTTCTCCTTACAGAGTGCATTCTTGTCTCCGTCGATATCACAGGAGCTTCGTCACCAACAGAACCGTCTGCCTTGTGCTTAGCAGAGCGTATTGAATCATTTTTACGGGAGGGAGACATTCGATTGACAGACGAGGCAAACACCAAACTGAAGATTAAAACTGAAGATATCAGAATAATCATCAAAAACCAAACCACTGACGGTAATATTTGAATAGGCCGACTATTCTATACTTTGAAAACGCAGCAATCAAGCATATTTGTTTTTCAATTTTCAATTTTCAATTCATTTGTCGTGTTCATAGCAGTAATTTTGTTATTTAATACCAACACATGCACATCAACAAGCAGGTATCAGTATAATATTGTTTTAGTAAGACAGTACGCAAATTCAACTTCTCTTGCCATTTGACAGCAAGATAATGAAAGAAGAGTTTATACAAACTTCAGAAATACACGTCTTCAAATAATAATTTAAACCTTATTTAATCACAAATAGTCTGATGAAAGCAAGCTAAAATTATAAAGGCAATTAATTAATTTGGTGTAGTGCATTTTAGAAATTCTAACAATTTTTTTAGTTACACAAGTAAATGAAAGACGTGTTCTGTCAAAATCAGGAAAGCTCAAAGCACTGTCAGTTCGCAGTTACTTGGATAATCTTTTCGTTTACATAGGGGTAGATGCATGCTTTCCTACTGGATTTCTAGTTGTTCAGTCTACAGTATCACCCATAAAACACAGATACGTTATTAATACCATTTCTTATGACGACTCGGTACAGCCACTGTTTATAATCATTATGTCTCACTTAGATTGAATGGGGAAGTATTGCATTAGTACTATTCTTCTGTCTTTTCTAATAGCAATCTATCCGGGCCATCAATTTAAAACCATTTAGGATATCTTGATGTGGTGTGCAATGTACTGTAGTTCATAAAGATAAGTTCCCAGTTAAGTCCTGTAGAGTACTTTAAACCAATATATATATGTGTTATATTAATGTTTTGTAGCGTAAGTAAAAGATCTGTTTGCAAACACTAGTATTTTATTCATAAATGTCGTAGATATTGTAGATGACTATCGAGATAGAAAATTGCAATTGTGCACCAAAAATCTTTAAAATTACCTTTACAAACTGTGTCGAGAATTATAATTGTACTTACAAATCAATTTTGTCATATAAACAATTGTAAGTAAGAATGTAAAAACAACCTGAAGATACCGTTTAAAAAATTGAAAAACTAAATAACTAAATATTTCATATTTTTCTCTTGCTTGTTTGAAATGAAAAACAATCTTTTCTTGAATCATAAAAATAAGCAGTATGCTATTGAAATGCCTTGAACTTTAACCACAATGCTAACCAGTTTCTTTCACGTGCTTTGATACTTGTATATTGAATATATTTACAGTTACTGAGATACCAATTACCTATTGACTGTAGTATACAATATTGTATAGGGGTTATATTACCCGGAAGTTTTAATTTCGCTATGTTCGTGCTTTGACTAATATCCGCGAATTCTAAACACCAGCGAAAATGTTAACCACTTTTACGGACCTTATCACAACATGTTGAAAATACTTATAACCCAACGCTGTTATGCAAGCTTAATTGAACTTAAAACAACTGGGCAGTCCATGTAAAAAGAATTCTTACATATAAGTGGCCACAACAGATTTATGTGTACACAATAGGTGATTCGTTTATTACAGTTTACTCCTACATACACATTTATTTTCTTTCGAATAAAGTCACTGGCGGATGACGACGCTCGGGATCAGTGTTTTCAAACGGTTTACCTATATTACCAGGTTTAACCCTTAAATGATGACACTCAAAATACTTTGCACGACAAATGGGATTCGGGTACATAGCGAAATTTAACCCCCGCGAATATGTACTGAATACGAATCTGCGAAATATTGACCCCGCGATAAAGCGCTATACAGGATTTAACGCAAACTTTATTCTAAAGTTGAACTACCTCATACAGTTCATCAGGCCAGTTTCCACAACTTAACCAGCTTTTTCTCTACAACTATATGTCAAATGATGAAAGTCAATTGGAACATGATATATTACTGGAGTAGAAACAAGAAAGTCCACTTTACCAATAATAAGCCAACCATTTACTTTTGCATCAGTGAGGATATTTTTGTATTTATTTTGTGCAAATATATATATTTGTTTTGTAATCACGAATATTCCTGTAATAAACAATATATATTTTGACATAAATACAGCTGGTTTCGAGCTCACTTGCCCAAAGGAAAAATGAGCTTTTAATCTAGCGTGTCATTACCAATGCATCTGGCACCACCAAATGGGACTTTTAAATACTGTTGAATGAGATCGTTTCGCTATAGTTTAGTTTTCGCCTTTTTTCGCCCGCCATAATGAGGACGGATATATGATAAAAGCTTGTAATAGCAAACAACATAATATGCATATCAATTAAATGTGAAGGCGAAATTAACACTCGGCGAATATAGATCATTCTGGCGAAGGGCGAAAGTTTTATTGGGCGAAAATTTCCCGGTATACATTAATTCCTGGTTCATTACATAGAAATGATCAAGATACAAACCTTTGACCATTCAGACCTATATATGAATGTCAAAATTTGTTATAAAGCATCGGTCCATATTTTGGATGACATAATGAAATTATTTGGCTCCGTTGTAAATAGAGATATGGACACAGAGGCCCGGTTTATTTTGGTTATAAAAAGAAGCCCCTGCCAAAAAGTGTATGTTTATATATATATTTTAACATTTCAACAAATTGAAGAACAGGTTAGTTTATAATGCCTCTGACCCTCTATTTCGTTCGATAGGATTCCCAATTGTGTGCATCAGTCAAGCTGAATACTTTGCCGACGAAAGGACAGTGGTAGTGATGCATTGTACGATCCTGGCCTGTCCCCCCGCCACGTCTGTGAGATGGGTGAGGATACGATACGGGGAGGAGGAGGAGCTTGATATAGACAACTACAAGTACTTAGGAGGGGGTGTCCTCAGTCCCTCCCTAGTTATCACTGACGTCAGTTATACCGACGAAGGATACTATAGGTGTTATGTCACAAGTAGTGAGGGCGAAGGAAAGAGCAATACAACTTGGTTGGAAACAAATAGTGGTAAGAATTAGTAGCGATCAAACTCGACTATTTATCACAATTTTTCAGCTATAACATAACTTTAAAAATATTGACATATCATGCACCTGACTATTTTCTTCATATTTCAAGTTCACAGATTTTGTTATCATTATAATCTTAAGCTTTGAAACTATAAAACTGACCTCAGTATATAGATGTAAATTCAAATTAGGTAAATGGTGCATAAAAAATATGATTTATGCAAGAGTTTGATATCAGAGGCACTATGAACAAAATCTATCACTTTATGTATTTTTACTAGGTTTTGTATACTGATGTCAATATAGCCCATCTGTGAACAATACTATAAATATTCAATTTAAATTTCAGCACTTAAAATGTTGATTCTTCATTTATTTTAAGCAATTTTATTGTTTCTATTTAAAGCTTATTGGATTGAATTATGTTACTGTGAAGGAACATGTAATATCACCACAATGTTATATTACATTAATTCCAGATTATACGGATCTCTCCACCTTTTTACATCAAAATGGTCATGATAAAGTAGACAGCAGTGCAATCAGATGTATCAAAACCTACTTGGCATCAAACAGAACGTCCGGGGATGATGTTCCTCTTCTAAGGATCGCGATAGACAACAACAGTAGAGACTTACTGCGTTATATCATTTCCACGGTACCGGAAGTGTTATCCAGTCGAGATGTCGATGGATGTACCTCTCTTCATTACTGCTGCCAGTACGGAACACTGTCATTGTTTAAGTTGCTTATCGAAAGCGGCATGAGTGCGGAAAGAACAACATCTAACGGATCAACGTGTCTCATGATGGCAACACTCAATAGACACAGACAAGTACTTCAACACATACTGGAAAACTTTCCTGAACAGTTAAATGTTGTGAACAGCGATGGAAGGAATTGTTTATTGATGAGCTGTGAGAAAGACAATATTCACATATTTGAACTCTTAGTGAAAACTGGAATTTCACTCGAGCACAAAGACAAAGCAGGTAACACCTGTTTGATGACTGCAATAGTGTATCGTAACAACTGTTTAGCTCACTTTATAGCGGAGAACTACACAAAACAACATGACGACAGTGATGGTTTGAATGCTCTAATGCTTTGTTGCAGAGTAGGAAACATAGAAACGTTTAAATTTCTCATCGTCACATGGATGGACTCTGACCCAATATTTGACAAAGGAATGACATGTTTGATGGTTGCTGTGATGCACCAACAGAGAAGACTCGCCAAATATATCGCTGCAGTCCTTCCAAATCAATTACACCTACGTAACAACGATGGCTGGGATGCACTGGTCTTTTGTAGCATGTATGGAGACATTGAACTTTTTGAATTCCTGATCAAACAGGGCATGAATCCTCCTACGCAAACACAAGACGGATTATCATGTCTGATGATCGCTGTACGTAACAAGCAGATAGAAATGACGAAACATATCGTAAAGTCCTACCCTAGACATTTACATCACAGAGACCGGAACGGTTTAAATGTACTTTACCATTGTTGTCACTCTGGGAACGTCGAGCTATTTCAGTATCTTGTTGAAAAGGGATTGAAACCTAACACTTGTACATCTGATGGATCAACCTGTCTGATGATTTCTGTACAGAACAAACATTTTGATCTTATTCGGCATATCGGGGGGAAATACCCAGAACAGCTTGAAGAAGAAGACAAAAGAGGTTGGAATGTACTATTGTATTGTTGCGAAGCTGGAGAGGTAAGGGTATTTGAATACCTTGTTGAGAAGGGAGCAAAGACCGATACATGTTCATTGGATGGATCTACCTGTCTGATGATTGCTGTACAGAATAAGCATTTTGACCTGAGCAGACATATCGGGGATAAATACCCAAAACAGCTTGGTGAAGAAGACACAAGAGGTTGGAATGTACTATTGTATTGTTGCGAAGCTGGTGACGTCAAGATATTTGATTACCTTGTTGAGAAGCGAGCAAAGACCGATACATGTTCACCTGGTGGATCTACCTGTCTGATGATTGCTGTACTGAATAAGCATTTTGACCTGATTCGTCATATCGTGGATAAATACCCAGAACAGCTTGATGAAGAAGACATAAGAGGTTGGAATGCACTATTTTATTGTTGTGAAGTTGGAGAGGTAAGGATATTTGATGACCTTGTTAAGAAGGGAGCAAAGCCTGATACATGTTCATTGGATGAAACAACATGCCTGATGATCGCCGCACTGAACAATCATGTTGATCTTACCAGAAGTATCGGTGATAAATACCCAAAACAACTGGACAAGCGAAACACCACAGGTTGGGATGCACTGTTATGCTGTTGTAAAGCTGGTGACGTCAAGATATTTGATTACCTTGTTGGAAAGGGATTAAAACCTCAAACATGTTCAAACGATGGATCCACATGTCTAATGATCGCTGCAGCCAACAAGCAGTTTGATCTAGCACAACATATTGTGGTTAGACACCCAGAATTGTTAGAACAACGAGACCAGAACGGTTGGAACGCACTTCTCTATTGTTGTCAAGCTGGAGATGTGTCAATGTTTAAATTCCTTGTTGAAAAGGGACTGAAACCCGACTCAAGTTCGACATGCTTGATGATTGCTGTTTTGAACAATCATTTTGAACAATGCCGACATATTTTGGACCACACAACGCCGGAACACCGATACCGGGATGGGTGGGATATATTGCTGTGCTGTTGTCAAGCTGGAAATGTGAAGATATTTGATTATCTTGTTGAAAACGCAGTGCAACCGGCAACACATTCAGATAATGGATCGACTTATCTGATGATCGCTATACTGAACAAACAATTCGACCTTACCCAACATATAGTAGAAAAATATCCTGAGCAGCTCAACAAATTAAACCGGAACGGTTGGAATGCATTGCTCTGTTGTTGTCAAGTTGGTGACTTCAGGATATTTAAATATCTTGTTAAAAAGGGATTAAAACCTGACACACGTTCGAAGGAGGGGTCGACATGTCTGATGATCGCAGTACTGAACAAACGTTTTAATCTTATCAAACATATCGTGAAAGAATACCAGGAACAGCTGGAACAACTAGACAATAACGGTTGGAATGCACTATTGTATTGTTGTGAAGCTGGAGAGGTAAGGATATTTGATTACCTTGTCGGGAAAGGCGTAAAACCTGACACGCGTTCCACAGATGGATTAACCTGTCTGATGATGGCTGTACTTAACAAACATTTTGATCTTACACGACATATTGGGGATAAATACCCAGAGCAGCTGGAACAACGAGACACACAAGGTTGGGATGTTCTACTCTGCTGTTATAAAGCTGGAGACGTCCGGATATTTGATTACCTTGTTGAGAAAGGAGCAAGATCTGACACACGTTCCACTGATGTATCGACATGTCTGAAGATCGCTGTACTTAACAAACATTTTGATCTTATCAGACATATCGAGGATAAGTACCCAGAACGGCTGGAACGACGTAACATGTCTGGTACGGATTTACCGTTGCGCTTTTGTAAAGCTGGAGTGGTAAGGATACTTGATATCCTTGTTGGAAAAGAGTAAAACCTGACACACGATCCAATGAGGGATTGACATGTCTGATGATCACTGCTCTTCACAAACTTGATCATATCCTACATATCGAAACTTAATTTAGGTAGCAGTATACACTAGAGGGTTGTGGCCATGGGTGATATTTTTGTTAAATGGCTGTATAATGATATGTAAAAAAAAATATAAAAATAAAACTACTAAAATTGGTATAAGCATGATGAAGTGGGCTATGTGAGCTTCACATTTGTAAAAAAAAAAGATTGTTTTGGGTCGAGAATAAAATTTTGGACATAATCCGAAAGGGTGTCTACACATGAAAAGCTAGCTTTACAGGAGACAGCACACGACGCAAAATTGCAATAAAACAAGTTTTACAACTTTACTGGGACCCAGATAATTCTGCAACCAGGTAGGTAATTTTTTTTATTTCAGACAGAACCTAGGAAAAAAATTACTAGTTGCGGGGGTCAAAAAATAGCAATTTTTGGCTTTTTTTGGTAATGTTTGATGTGGTAACCATGGTTTTCACACAAGTGACATACATAGAAAAAAAAGAGGTTTATACACTTTTCAGTACTTTATACGTATTGTAAATATAATACAGTTTCAAATATATATACATGTATACATGTGTTTTGTAGGGTAAATCTGCTGTGTTTACATTTCCTCGACATGTGCCTTGTTTATCAGAGTCGGACCATTTCTACTGTATACTGCAACCCAAAACAGCTACCATTGTCATGCTGGAGACGTCAAGATGTTGATTACCTTGTAGGAAAAGGGGCAAATCCCTATACCTGTTTATATGATGGTACAGCATATTTGGAGTTTGTTAATTTAACACACATTTATACCTCACCTGACATATCTGACGAAAATACCCAGAACAGATGGATGTAGTAACGAGACTGTTTATAATGTACTGTTCGATTGTTGTAAAGTTATAGACATAAGGAGATTTTATTGTCTCGTCGAAGAGTGAAACAGGACGCCCTGTATTGACAACACCTATGATAATCTAAAAGAACTTCTAGCAAATAAAAGAAAAAGTTGGGATATTTGAAGCCAGAGTCATTGGAATTTACTGTACTATTTAAAGCTGGAGACGTTGAGATATTTTGCTGGAAAAGATGTTTAGTTGCCACACGTTCAGACGATAGGATTATAATTGAAGATAATGTCGAGGAATGTCAAGACGAAAGTCGAAATAAAAAGCAAAAGCCAAACGGGTTTTTGGGTACACCCCTAAAGGTCATGAATAAGTCTAGCGATTCATCTTTTATTCCTGGGACAAATCAGATAGCTAGCCATGTTCCTCCAATTTTGCCCTGACAAGCCCAGGGGTGCAGATAGCGTTAGTTAGCGTAACCCTCGCAGTATCAGAGATGTAACTTTTTTTTTATTATTTTTTCTTTGGAGTTATGTCCCTTTTCTGACATTGTTTTATATTTGCTGTTCAACGTACTTTCTTAGCATTCACTTATTTAACTTTGGTACTCATGTAAATTCACAAGGTAGCTATGTGCGTATGATATATTCTATATTTAGATTATTTCGTTCTTGCCGATATTTATCAAACTTGGTAAACATGATCGATACCTATTGTAATTGACCTTTTTTCTTGAAATATATTTTTATTTTACCTTATTTCTGATTTGCGTTTGTAAATGTCAAAACTACTGCTACTTATCTTTTTGACCAATATTTATGAAACTTGTTCATATGACTGGCACTTTAGTAATACGTGCAATGACTATTCAATTTCGTTCACCTTTTTTATGAAGAGTTATTTTCCTTTCATTGTTTTATTAATGTGGGAGCGATGATTATATGTAAATCCGTAGCTTTTAGTTGAAGTGTGGTTGTTTTATTTGTACCCATTTTTCATATTACTTTTTTCAGTTTTTTTGTCGTTTTCAATGAGATGTCTCTGTACTGAAATCGTTCTTTTAAATTCTGTTCCGTAAGTTATCGCCAAAAAACATTAGACAGGAAAGAAAATATTCATATTTTTTTTTTAGCTTTAGTAACGGTGAAGCTTCACTTGAACATACGAGAAACTGCATTTACTCATGGATGTCATAGATGTTCAATTGTCGCAGATCTTCGAATGTCAAAGGTAGACGATTGTCACAGATGTCCGAATGTCATAGATAGACGATTGTCATAGATGTATGAATGTCACAGATTTCCGAAAGTCATAGAAAACGATTGTCATAGATGAATGAATGTCACAGATGTCCGAATGTCATAGAAAGACGATTGTCGCAGATGTATGAATGCCACAGATGTCCGAATGTCATAAAATGCCACAGATTTCCTAATGTTCATATATTAACAATTGTCACAAATGTGTAAATGCCACAGTTGTCCGAATGTTCATATATTAACAATTGTCACAAATGTGTAAATGCAACATATTTCCGAATGTGCCTAAGATGTATGAATGCAGAAGTGTAATTTTCTGTATACTATTATATTTCTTTTGTATCGTCAACTCCACTATATTGCCGTACACCTAAAACTTTTATGTTTAAGAAATTATCTTCTTAAAAACTTAAATACGCAATGAATACCAGGTTCAATTCCAACGTCAGGTATATGAAGCTCTCGCCGATTCTGATCTGGATATGTGACAATGCTAGAACTCGATGCTTTCGATTGAGAATAATTGTGCGTTGTTTCCATTTTTTACCCTTTATATGCCTACAATGCCAGTCATGATACAGATTAAATAGCCATGGCGACCACTTGACTCTAAGTACTCCTTATAGAACATATAAAACAGTGCTGTATGATATGAATCAACTTTGTATGCACACGTTCGATGATAAACTAGATAAGCTCTATAACTTTGCTGTGTTTTTGTTTATATTAGAAGATGTATAAGATTCGCATGACCCTTATTTTATTAGCTTTTTGAAAATATTTCATGGCATAATGTCTGCTCCATCAGATAGGTCGCAATTTGATATGTGAAGATTTTTAATGTGAAAAAAGTATTGCCTGCGGGTAATACGGGTAATAACTCTCTCCACAAACCATGCAACGAAACCGCACATTAGTTCTATTGATCACATATTTATACCCATATAAAAATATGTATATAGTGCCAAAATATGACGCCATTAATGCATGACGTTTTTGGATATAGTTTTATGTAAGCTATAGCATTCTAGTGTCTCAGTTATGTTATATATTTTCCTAATTACATGCTATGAGATATAATGGAAATTATATATTCCCAATATAAGCTGCCATGTTAATTCGAAAACGGGCTGGGTTTTTTATGTTCAGTGTTGAAATGCAGATGATCTTATACCTTTTCATATCCAATCGAAGGATTTAACTCCAATCGTATTGGTGAAAGTCTTGTCCTGTATCCCCTCGCAATCCAGTAGGACAGGATACGTAACGTTTGTTATTATTTAAAGTGGCAACTGTAATATCGTGTACATATCATTTTGACATAAAAAAAATACGTAGGGAATCATATGGACGTTTTTATGTTGGCGTTAAAATGTTTGCACCGATGTTTGTTATGCTGTCATCATAGTGTTTATTATATGTAGGATACCGAATAGAAGTGTTATCTTGAATAAGAAACGTATACCGATGTTAGATTAATGTGTTGAGGTACTGCGTCATTGTTCCTTCTGGAGGGTAAGAGAGTGTGGTAAATCTGACATCAATGGACTTATACTATGGAATATGAGATTGATGTTATTATACTGACATCGAGGTATTCATTCTAGAGGATGTCAATTTGACATCAATCAAACTTATACGGTGGAATACACGATTGATGTTGTTATACTGACATCATTTTTTTTCATTCTAAAGATGTTATTCTTGCATCAATAAAACTTATACTATGAAATATAAAATCTATAAACTAATACTATGGATTATCAAACTAATATTGTTATACTGACTTCAAGGTATTTCTTTCTGAAGGATGTCATAGTTTTGTAGATAATCTGACTTTAATAAGCTTATAATATATAATGTTAGATTGCTGTCTTAAGGTATTTGACATCATAACATCAAAGTGATTATTCTGAGGATTGTTAAAGAGGGGAGGCTAATTTAAACTACGGAATATAAAACTGATATTATTATTCTGACATCAACGTATTTATTCTGGAGGATGTCATATTTTTTTTTATATCTGACATCAATAAACTTACACTATTGAATATAAGATTGATGTCTGAAGGTAATGACATCAAAGTTATTCTGGAGATATTACGAGAGGTGTGGTTAATTTGACATAAATGCACATGCACTATGAAATATTAGATTGATGCTTTTATTCTCACATCAACGTATTTATTCTGGAGGATGTCACAGTTTTGTATATCTGGCGTTAATAAACCTATACTAAGGAAGATGTCTAAAGGAACTGACATCAAGGGATTCATTCTGGAGGTAGTAAGAGTGGTGTGGTTAATTTTACATGAAAACACATGTGGAGGATGTCACAGTTTTGTAGATATCTGACATCAATGAATGTATTTTGAAGGAGGTCACAGTTTTCTAGATATGTGATACTATTGAATATATTATGGAGGATGTCACAGTTTTGAAGATATCTGACATCAATGAATGTATTCTGAAAGATCTTACAGTTTTGTAGATATGTGATACCATTGAATATATTTTGAAGGATGTCACGGTTTTGTAAATATGTGATCCCATTGAATGTATTTTGAAGGATGTCACAGTTTTGTAGATATCTGACATCAATTAATGTATTTTGAAGGATGTCACAGTTTTGTAGATATCTGACATCAATGAATGTATTTTGAAGGATGTCACAGTTTTGTAGATATGTGATACTATTGAATATATTCTGGAGGATGTCACAGTTTTGAAGATATCTGACATCAATGAATGTATTCTGAAAGATCTCACAGTTTTGTAGATATGTGATACCATTGAATGTATTTTGAAGGATGTCACGGTTTTGTAGATATGTGATCCCATTGAATGTATTTTGAAGGATGTCACAGTTTTGTAGATATGTGATACCATTGAATATATTCTGGAGGATGTCACAGTTTTGAAGATATCTGACATCAATGAATGTATTCTGAAAGATCTCACAGTTTTGTAGATATGTGATACCATTGAATGTATTTTGAAGGAT